CCTCAAAAACTTAAAAACAGAACTACAATATGATCCAGCAATCACACTTCTGGGTATACAGCCAAAAGAAATGAATACAGGGTCCTGAGGAGATATCTGCATTCTCTTTATTGCAGCTTTATTCACAATAGTCAAAATATGGGAAAAACTTAAGTGTCCATCAATGGATGAATGTGTAAAGATTATGTGGCTTATATATACAATGGAATATTATTCAGCCATTGAAATAAGGAAATCCTGCTATTTGCATGGATGGGCATTGGAGGCATTATGCTAGGTGAAATGTCAGACAGAGAAAGGCAAATACTGTATGTTGTCACTTACATAAGGAATCTAAAAAAGCTAAACTTGCAGAAACAGAGCAGAGTGGTGGTTACCAGGGTCTGGGGGTAGGGAATTGGGGAGATGTTGGTCAAAGGGTATAAACTTGCAGCTAGAAGTTAAATAACTTGTGGGAGCCTAATACCATTGTGATTATAGTTAACAATACTGTATTATATACTTAAAGTTGTTAAGAGACTAGATCTTAGATGTTCTCATCACAAAAGAGGAAATGATATTTGCATGAGTGGTGGAGGTGTTCGCTAACACTATTATGGTAATCACATTGCAATATGTAAGTGTATCAAATAGACATTGTGTATCTTAAATTTACACAGTATTATGTATCAGTTATATTTTAATACTAATTAAGAAACTGAAACATATTTCTGAAGTGTATGTATTTTGTGCTTTACTTGACAGCACTACCAGCTTATACTTACTGATATTAATTGCTTTAACAATGATTGACATTAGAGAAAACTAAGAATGCTTTTTTTCATTTTTCTACTTCTTTTTCCAAGTGGCCCAGCTTTCATCCAAGCTCTAGTAGCCACACCTGGGCCTGTAACCAAGGAAATTTTAGCCTAGTAAAAACTTAGGAATATCTTACTAGAGGTATTGGTTGGAAATATTTTTTCCCTGCTCTATACCCAAGGGAAGCTGCTATCAGCCGTGGGCAAACTACGGCCCGTGGGCCAGATCCGGCCCATTTGAAATGAATAAAACTAAAAAAAAAAAAAAAACCGTACCCTTTTATGTAATGATGTTTATTTTGAATTTATATTAGTTCACACAAACACTCCATCCATGCTTTTGTTCCGGCCCTCCGGTCCAGTTTAAGAACCCATTGTGGCCCTCAAGTCAAAAAGTTTGCCCACCCCTGTAGCTAGATGGTACTAAAAATGACTTGGCTGAATGATTGACTGAAGCTTGCCATTATGGGTACATTAGCCTCCTGTCACAAGCTATCTGACCTGGGCTAGCCCTGTCTACTTCCCCTGCAGGCCCCTTCATTCTTCTTATCTGGCATTCGGCCTTGTCTGTTTCAGATGAAAGGCTGAGCTACAGCTGTGCTCTGCACCTGCCCATCTAACCGCCTGCTTTTACCCTTATTTGACTGTGTACCCCCTTAGAATTGGGCTTTCCTTCATTGGGAAGATTTAATGCAAAGGAGGTATTGCACTATACTTCAGACATGGGGAGGGCATGCGTGTGTGTGTGTATGTGTGTGTGTGTGTGTGTGTGTGTGCGTTTAGCAAAATAAGGTCCAGAAAAAAGTGGTAGCTGGGAAAATAGGAATCTCATATGCAGACACCAGTAGTTATTGGTAGATCACTCACCCTTAAAAAAATAAGATATCTAATGTATTTAGATGACAAAAAGCTAAGGATAAACCAGTCAAAAAGCAAATTGCACCCTGGAGTTGACCTTCGCCCCACATCATCTTCTGTCCCTGAACATTGGCATGAAACCCATCCCACTGCATCTACACAGGAACGGAAATGAATATGGGAAAGATGACCTGGGACACAAAAGCCCAACTGCAGGCCTGAGACTTCCATGATCCAGAGAAAACCTCCATCATCAGAGGAGGCAGGAAGGTAGAATCTGCCTGTTGAGGAACCGGAAGCGCCTATGTGGCAGTTCTGTGGCTGAAGGAATGTCCCACCAGACAGAACAGTTCTGGGCAGTGAGACACCAGGTTTTCCACGAGGGCCAGCTAGCAACACAAGGGTTTTCACTTCCCTCAATGTTCTCTGCTTAGACTTTTATCACATGGATCCACCTAGGGACAGTACCCAGCAAGGGAAATAAATAGATTTATTCTGTGGGGGTACACCCCCCCCAAATAGATGTAACTCACTAACACTGTTTGTTATTGAAAGATTGGGACCAGGCAGGGATCAGCCCCACGCTGCTGTTTGCATTTCCGTTCTCTATAGTTACCATTAGAATAGTAACCCCTCCCCCCCATTCTGATTTATGAAATTGGTTTAACTTTTCCTGACAGTCTCCAAATTACCAGTCACTCTGCATTACTAGGCCTTGCACTAGTCAGGCATCCCTGTGCATTCTATCTCTTCTACCTCGCCATGCCATCTGTCACTGTAATACCTGTGTCGCTGAGTTTTGAACCATAATGCTTATACCCCATCAGCTTCCAAATGGTTCCATGATCTGTCAGCAGTGATCAAGGTAGTGCAATGAGACATGACAGGGCATCCAAGTAATTTTTTAGGGAGGCTGGAGAGTGGAAAAGTTGAAGCCTGAGACATTTGAGTCACTCCTCCTTAAGTTGCTTTTGTGAGGTCTCTAAGTTCCTGACACACACACACACCCTTTTAAAAAATATCCTGAAGTAAAATGCATATATCTGACTTTCATTTGATGTGATAGGCTGATAGAAGCATATTGTACAGAACCCCAGTAAGTATACCTTCATACATCAAGGGGCTTGTCTACGTATATGGTGGGACAAAGCACGAGAAGGGTAGATGTGGGAATGGGAGTGTTATATGCCTTTGCCGTTGTGTGTATGTGAGAGTGAGGGGTTTGGGAGGCAGTTCACCTTGAATGGCAGAGATGTGGGTGGAAGGTCACTAACATTGATTTATTTAGAACCTGCTTTCCTATATGCATTGGGCCAATGCTTGTGTGCACGTTGTCTTATTTACCCCTTAAAAGAACTTAAGCAGCACTGGGTTCTGATTTCCTTTTTTTAGACAGATGAAGACATACACATTTTTTATTTTTTACAAAAGAAATCAAGGTCATACCTGCAATCAATGAACCAGTGATGTGACCTTGGACAATTTAAGATGTGTCAGATTCTAAAACTGTATGCTATTTCCATGATAAACGAGGGCTGTGGGTATCAAGATTTTTCAGCTCTCTCTTTGAACCCCATTTCCCACAGAACATTTTGGGGATGGTTCCAATTTTCAGATACTGTTCTCTAAATCTATCCTGCAAGATATTTTCAAGTCCTATTTCCTACCATTTGGAAAACATTTATTCTCTCCTTACCACTGTGGCAGCCTGCCTGGAAAGAGGTGCAATGTATCATTTTGCACACTAATGGAAGGTGGGCTAGGAATTACCTATAATTTGTTTCTCCATCCAGGCACGTCAAACTAAGTTATGATGAAAGTGGAGCGGCAACCTTGATCACCTACTGTTTTATAGCTGATGTGATTGTTTTTATGAAGCCTATAACGTTTTTAACGCTGTGGTTGTGATGATCTCGATTCTTGTCTCAGCAGAACAATATGACAAGATTTGAGTCAATTATGATTGCAGAGGACGGGAGTGTGGCTTGCTAGTGACAGGGATGGAGAGAAAATTGCGCAAAGCCTGCTCCTGTTGCCCCCTATAGACAGGCCACTGAGGGACCTCTGGCCAGCATTCTGCAGCCTCCATGAATTACTGTTTTCTGTTTGGCAGATGGCAATGAGTTGCAACTAAATCATTCTCAGATAACTAGGGATTTAAGATGAAATTCCCTCTAGACCATTACAGTGGGGCCTTGACTTATGAGTTGAATTCGTTCTGAGACCGAGCTCGTTAAGGAGCTCGTTAACTCAAATTACTCTGTCAACTCAATGCAAAAAATCGGCTGAGAGACAGCTGGTATCTCAAAAAACTCGTTAGTCAGGACACTCGTAAGTCAAGGCCCCACTGTATATTCAAAGAGAAGACCTGGATCAAGGACACTATGGAATGAACCTCATGTTCGGGGAGATTTGGAGCAAGATACGATAGCCATTTCCCTTGGTTAAAACTCTGTAGTAGAAGAAAGAGGCAGGTGGGGAAGTATCTAATTTTATTTAAACAGGTATTTCTAGAACACCTAGTAGTGAGCATACTGACGCTAGACTCCATGGAGAAAAAGATGAGACTCCATTGCACCAAAATTTAGGGATACCACCCCCTAACATTTTAAACACATTTTGAAAGTGCTATAATAATGTTATAAATACAAATGATGAGCCTTCTAGGGGAAATGACCAGGGAAGATGATGAAGAGGTGATGTAATCTGAGTTAATCCATGGCGGTTTGAGTAATGCATTTTACAAGGCAGCACAAGGATGGGGAGGATACTCTGACCATAAAAGCCAGCATGATAATAAGCACAAGAGGCATGACATCTGCTGGGGAAGGATGTGAGGTGGCAGGTGTGTATGGGAGGGGTGTGGCTGGAACTTTGGTTTGGCAGATTTAAGTTGGAGCAATATTTTGGAGAGCTTGGAAAGTAATGATAAAGAGTTTGCATTTGATATTGTAGGTCATAGGTTATAGACTCAGTTGTAGACAGAGGCCAGGAAGGTAATATAAAGGAACGATACTGACCAAATAGTGGCTGTGGTAACTTGGGTAGTAAAGTCCCTTCTGAGGAAGGCAGCTGAGACTCTGCTCCCACCGATAGTAGCTTCTCTAGTGTAAGAACTCTGTATGGCCAGATGTCCCCATTTTCTTAGAGAAGACTGAAATCTCATTTTTTTTTAAATGTGAGCTTTCATGACACTTAAATGCTGGCAACTAATAAAAATTTTTTTGGGAAACACCTGGGGGCCAAAAAGAGCCAGTTTAAGGTTTGTGTCTTATGTCTGTCCATCTGCTAGTGGCTTATAATTACAGAAGGAGAAATGGGAACATATAACTATTTCTACTCAAGGAACTGACTCTATTGTATGGAAGATGACACTTGAGCAAGGAGACTGTTGGACAGCCAGAGTCTGAGAGGTGAAGGCTTGACATCAGGTATTTGGGGGGGGAGGGGAAGGAGGAGGAGGACTGGAAGTAAGAGCCTTGAGCCACCTGGTGACCATTGGATGTGGGAGAAAGGTTGTGGTGCCATCATAGATGTCCCCTGGGAGGTTGTGAGGCTGCTCACTGAATGGAGGAGACGGTAAAGGGAGCTACTGTCATGCATCTCCTGGGTAATGATTTTATTTTGCTTTTTACCATATACTTTATACCTGTACTCTACTATCTACTCTATATTTCTGGAAGAAATTATTTGCAGTGAAGATAATAGATTTTTTTCTTAAACCAAATAAATACTTCTTTCCCTTCTTCCCATTCATACTCCAAGATGAACTATGGGGACTCGCTGCTAGATTTCAGACTCTTTCCCTGTGTAGCATTAGACACATTGATGTGGTTGAAGCAATGAGCCGAAAGTATTTTAATCCTTGATGGATAGCAGAAGAAGAGGAGTTTATGAGTCCAATTCTTCTCAAGTTTGAAGATAATGATTTTTGCCTCTTCTGCCTCCGCTTATTTCTTTTGCATTTTACATTTTGCGACAGTGAATCAGACACATTATTATTCCATTCAGCAGCCTTGACATCAGCAGCAAATTTGCATGAACTAGGAAAGAAATGTTTCTATATTATTTTCTCCCATCCTAAGTGGTATTTTATTGCAGTAGAGATTTTAAGTGGTCTCTCCATCCAAACTTCCAATTTGATGGGAGCCTTTGATAGTGCCCATTGATTTGTTTACAGGACCATTGGAATAGGAGAGAGCCTGGTTTCTTGATTGGCGAGTGTGACACAGAGGAATGAATGGATAAATTTAACACTGCTCAGTGCACTTTAAAAAAAACCCGAGTCTAGAGTAGAATTCCACCTACCATACTGCATTTACTAAAAAAGGGCTTCCCAAATGTCTCCCATGCAGAATGCTTTTTTTGGTTATTCAACCAAACATAGGAACCCTGCTGTACCTGACGTTGTCAAAGGTCATGCCTATTTTTCCTTTGCCATTGCTTCACACTCAGGCTTTTATTCCTGCACCAAGTCAACTGGGCAATTTCTGACAAAATTAGGCAAAATCTTTTTTACTAAGACATTGTGAACTCAGTAGGGTTTTTAGATAACTTTTAATGCCTGAAGCAAGTTTCTGTCATCTTCACGTGTTCCTAGACAGTTACCAATAGTCAAGGATCTTTTCCCATTTCAATTCCTCTGAAGTGATCCACCAGGGATCCATGGGGCATGAAGGAATCTCCATTAATCTGTGTCAACATTCTCTCCCTTATCCCTTACAGGAAATACTCAGTTGTACAGGAACTGTATGCTTAGAATTTAATAGAGCCTGGATACACCTGGAAAGATTGTCAGGTAATAGATGCCTTTGGTCCTTGTACTGTCGGGTGCTGGCGGGTTGGCAAAGAACCAGTAGCAGAATCCATTTCTTCCCTTAAATGAGATTGCATGTTCCCTTAACATGCTGTCATTTAAAAATATGTCAACATGAAGATTTTTGGATCAGCTAATATATGCAAATGGTGAAAATTCAAATAGTATAAATTATTCTTTAGTATATGTTTTAAATATTGGCAAGAGCTCAGAAAGGAAGAATAAAAGAGATTTTACTCCCAGTTTTGCCACTGACTTATTTGGTGGAACTGGTCCAAATAGGATACCTTTTTGTCTCTCAGTTTCTTCACCTAAAGCCTAGAATGGGAATCTTTGCCCAATAACTCTTCAGGATTGTTGTGAGACCTTAATAAATCTGGTGTGTGAAAGTGCTTTAAGTGCATAGACATTAAAGGATCTTTGCTATAGTTTCCCATGGCCTCTGTTAAGTACTCAGCCAATATCTACTGTGTCCTTGGCATTGGCTGGGAGGAGATAAAGAGCTTTAAATTATTAACTCAATTCTCAAACTAGTTCCATCAGGTAAGTCTGTTATTATCTCAAATTTACAGTGAGAAAATGAAGGCACAGACAAGCTAAATAACTTGCCAAAGTTCACATAGCTGGTAATTAGTATCAAAGTTGAGATTTAAACCTTGTCTTTCTCTTTTTTCCTCCCTTTCTCTCCCCCTCCCTTTTCCTTTCTATCTATGTGTAATATATATGTATTTATAATACATACATGAATATATCTATAAATAAACTTCTCTATACATTATGATTGTAGCCACCTGCTCTTTTACTGAATACATTTTAAAATTTATCTTTATTGTTGAAAGTATTACAGATGTCCTCTTTTGTCCCCACATTGACCCCCTCCACCTTACCCCCACTCCTACCCCCACCCCCATCTTTTACTTAATATTTTATGCTGAACATTGCGTATATGTCATTAAACTTTCCTTTAAAACCTATTTTTAGTGATTTTGAAATACATCATGTCTATAGGGGAGTTACCAACTCCTAGCTGTTAGGCATTTGTTTTCTTTCTTTTTTGGGGGGGGGGTCATTATGCATAAGGCAAATTTCTTGGTTCACAAATCGTTGTGGGCATCTGTGATTATTTTCTTAAAAAAAAAATTCCAGAGATGACATTGCTATGTCAAAGAAAATGGACATTTTTAAGGCTTTTGATATATATTGCCAACTTGCCCTCAGGAAAGGTTGTGCCAATTTATTCTTCCTCCAGCACTCTATATTCTATTTTTATGAAGATGACAGAGCAATTATAGGAGGCTAGATTAGAACTGGACTTTCAAGATCAGCACTTACATCTGTGTGTGCAGTTGATCACATGCACCATAGACAAGGAGACAGAAGGTAGGTTACTTGTCCAAGGACACAAGGCAAATTAATGGTTGAATCCTAGTGATATTGATTAATGATAAGCAATAGATGGGTAGAAAATGCCTATGTGGGAGTAGAAATACTATTTTTCAGTAATTTTACAGTCTAATTACCAAATGTCACTCTTTCATTTTTCTGGTTGCTTTATTCTGATGATTTCAAAAGCTAAGCTAGCCCACATTGTTAGAAGTAAATCAATCTTGTGCTGAGGAGCAATTTCAGATAGCAGTGGGAAATCTGAGAGGAGGGGGTGGGGAGCATTCAGCCACATCTACAAAGCTCCCTACAATTGTTTTGGGGCTGCTTATCTATAGGGTGAACACAAATTGTTTGCAAATGTCAATTTGCTGCAGAAACAACCTAATAGCAGCATGAATGAAAATAAAAACTGAACTAGAAAATATCTACAACTCTGCCACTGCAAGTTTTTGTTGTTGTTGTTAATCCCTATTGGCAATTTAGATTATTTACCAATTTTTAGTATTTTTAAGTAATGTGGCCAAGATAGGTAGATTATATACATGTATTTTCTCTTTTAGATATGTTCTTTGTAATTCCTTAGAAGGCGATTAACTACCTTAAAAATGTGAACATTTTTGTGTGTTTTAATCTGTGCTGCAAGAGCTTTCCAAAATGGTTAGATAACTAGATTATGTCAGTACATATTATGAAGTATTTTTAGATGCAATATAATATTCAATGATTTGTTTAAAATATTGTAAGTTATTTAATTAATTTTTTTTAATTTTCTTTATTGATTAAGGTATTACATATGTGTCCTTATCCCCCTAGTGCCCCATCTGACCGCCCACCCCCCCGCTCATGCCCTTACCCCCCCCTGGTGTCTGTGTCCATTGGTTATGCTTATATGCATGCATATAAGTCCTTTGGTTGATCTCATCCCCTTACCCCCACCCTCCCTTGCCTTCCCTTTGAGGTTTGACTGTCTGATCAATGCGTCTCTGGATCTGTTTTTGTTCATCAGTTTATGTTGTTTATTATATTCCACAAATGAGTGAGATCATGTGATATTTATCTTTCGCCAAATGACTTATTTCGCTTAGCATAATGCTCTCCAGGTTCATCCATGCTGTTGCAAATGGTAGGAGTTCCTTTTTACAGCAGTGTAGTATTCCACTGTGCAGATGTACCACAGTTTTGTAATCCACTCATCTGCTGATGGGCACTTAGGCTGTTTCCAAATCTTAGCCATGATAAATTGTGCTGCTATGAACATAGGGGTACATATATCCTTTCTGACTAGTGTTTCTAGTTTCTTGGGATAAGTTATTTAAGCCAACTCTAGCTTCTGTCCAGGGAGCCATGGCTTCTGGTCTCATAGAGGATTTGCTCATAACACTTTTCGTTAGGTGACTTTGTCATTTTTGTCCAGATTGGAGGGGATGAATGGCTATTTAACCAATTTGGCTGGCTCTTAGCTGACCTCTGTAGTTTTTTTTTTGTCTGGGTTTGTATTGCCTAGAGCAGGGGTGGGCAACCTTTTTGTGAGTGCTTGCCAAAACCAGCAAAATCTCTGACTCAAAACTCTTCTGCGTGCCAAACCTAATTTTTTGAGAGCATGTTACTCCTACTTGATATCTCTTAAGGTGTACGTATGTGAAGAACCTTGAATAAATAATAAAATTGATTCAAGTGACAAAAACACAGTATATGATGATGAAAAATACATTTATTTTTTAATGTATACATGTACACAGATAGTCCGACAGAAAACTTTATGACTCCGTTTGATATTAACAGTGGGACTTTTGCTGCTGCATCACTGATGACAGAGATTTTACATCAGGTTTATATTTCGTGACCTTCAGAGATATGCACGAGCTACTACTTTCATCCGTCGTCAGGCTACTCCTATTGCGAGACTTAACAAAATTCATCACTGAGAACAAAGATTCACAAGCCTATGTGGATGAAACCAAAACACTGGTAGGATCTAGGAAGGCAGGGAGAGTTAAGGTAGAGGCATAGAAATTGCTCTTCCCAGTCTCTCGTCAGTCCATGTCTATGGTCTTTAAGATAAGTTGTTATGTAAAATTATTTATTTATCTAAGATGCACCTACCCTGAATTTATCTGAAAAATAAAAAAGTCGATATTAAGAAAAAAATTGTAAATGGAAGATTATAAGAGAGGGTTTCGCGTGCCATCAAAAGTTATTGGCCTGCCATGTTTGGCATGCGTGCCAGGGGTTGCCCACCCATGGCCTAGAGCTTCCTTGATTTGTAGAGGTTGAAGTCAGACCTTCTCAATTCATATACTTATTTGTCCTCTGTCATCCTGGGCATAGCTTGAAGTCCCCTGTTTCTTCGAGTTGGAATTAGTTCAATGCTTCCTATGGCAGTCCTGAATTCAATGAACAGGCAGCAGTGACCTCACTGGCTAGAGCACCACTCTGATTATTTTCTTTATTACATAGTTATGATGAGACCCTTTGTTTATGATAAAAGAACACAATAGCTTCCCAAGCATATTTTACCAAATTGCCTGATTGGGTGAATACTATTAACAGAAATTGGGATGTAGGGGGACTGAAGAGCGAAAATGAGCTCAATTTTGTTATTCAGTTTGAAGGATAAGAGGACATCTAATGGAGGTGTCAGTCATGTAAAAAGTAGGCTTGATACCCTGGAAAGCTGTTGGTAGGAGAAAATGAGATTTGGATTTCATAAGAGGTAGTAGGTAAAGTAGTTGTGATCTTTAAAAAGAGAAAAAAATAGGCATTATAGGACCAGTATTAAAAATTGAGCTTATAGGTTTGATGGACTTGGGTTAAAACATTGTTTCTGCCTCTTACTGTTTGGCCTTCGGCATGTTATTTAACCTTCAAGCCTTAGTTACAACACTGACATAATGCAGTAACACCTACTTAATACAATGAATGTGAGCATTAAAGGATATAATGCAGTTTATTGAAATCAATGAATATTAGCTGTTGTTACTGTTATAAAACTGATGGTAGAATATGTGTAAGTCATCACAGGAGGAATCACCAGAAGACAAAGAATAAATGGTCACAGAGAGAGAAAGAAAGCCAGCATAATCCAGAAACCCCGGAGAAGAAGGAAACCAAGGGAGGAAGAAAGGAGAAACAGAGTCAAATATGAGACAAAGGGCAACGTCAAAATCAGAAAAGGTTTTTCAATCTGGGGATCACTAGGTCTCCTATGATTTCCTAGAGAATGCTTTCAGTATAAAAATTGGGCAAAAATCTCACTGTAGGGCATAAGCCAGCAGTGAAGAATGTTTCCTAGGATCTACTAAACTCAAAACAGATAAGGTAAATTGCTAACGACAGGTGAAACTATCGGCTAGGTGAGTCTCATTGGATTATCAATGGACTTGGATATTACATGTGCTCTTTTGTCCTACATCCACCAAAAAATGGTGAGTTCCATGCTCATATGAACCTGAGATATGCCACTTGTATAAACTTCCTTGTAGCCTGGCTTATATATCAACTTCTGATTTAATAGGAGATACATTTTTATTCCTGCCGTTGGTCACATTTCAGCTGCTTATAAGGAAAATAGCATGAAATAAATAGTTGCAAGTTGGGTTCAGCATGTTTACAAAGAGCTGATGGCATTTAACTGTTAGCTGCCTACCGCACACACTCCTCTTACAGCCAGTTCACCTGGAATTAAAGACAGGATGTTCAGCTAAACCCACCGAATCCCTCCGTCTATGGACTTGCTTAAAAAGTTACTCATTGAAAGCAGCTTTTGATCCTGTTTAGCCTTTGGTTTTATTATCTCTCTGGCAGTCTCAAAAAGGGTTTCTTTATGACATATTGTTGAAAATTCTGCTAGGACAAACCCATTTAACTGTGGAGATGAGAGTTGAAAGAAAATTGCAGGTTTTGGTTTGTCAACATGATACAGGACTATGGCAGGCATACCATACTTTATAATTTCAGAGAATTTGATCTAACCACAGACAAATGAGAAATTAATCAGAACCATTTCAGTTTTGGCAAAGAAATTGAAGTCAACCCACCCCTCCTCATAATTAGAACCTCATTCTGGATTCAAATATTTCAGACCTTGAGCACTTGTTTGTACTAACCTTGGGTATTGTCTCTACCCTTAGGTTGTGCCTGGTGCTGGTTTATCATTTTGCTGCTGACACCCAGAACATTGCAGATGCTTCTGCTCAGGTGCTAAGGTATCTGTACAAGCACAGTGAAGTATTTTGGTACTGACAGAACATATAATTAGTATCTATTCTTGGGAAAAGATGTCATCCACATGACTGACATTTTAGGTGGAAGTTCCTTTAAAATACAGGAAAGGGAATGGAGGTGTTCTGAGGACAGCCGTCTCCCTGCTGCTGACAAAAAGTCATGCAGTTGCAGACTGAGTTCTTGTGTTGATTGTGTTTAAAGGCCACCTTGCAATTTTCTAATCACATGTAGAAGTCTAATCTCAAAGGTGCTATCATAAAATGGTTTACTGGTGAACCCACAATTCTCTTCCACAAAGAGACTTAAGTAGTTATGGGAGTCAGTGATGAATGACTCAAAGATGGATTGGAAAGTGATCATAATAGCTCAAAGGAGGAATTAAACAAATGTTCATAGAATGCACTATATATACACCAAGTACTGGTTAGTATTTTGTGGAGGGATCGCTCTTGATCCTCAGTAGAACTAGGAATATAGGCATTGTTTAAAATTGGGACCCCTCCAATAGGCATGGTTTCTGCAATTTCACTGAAAGAGGCAGTTATGCTCATAGCATATGAGAGTTTTATCCCCCTCACAAGGCATTCATCACCCCCAATTCAGGGACGTGCTCATTTACAATAATTGATATCAGAGGTTGGAATGGGTGGTGCTCACCTTATTAAAAAATAATTTTAGATGGTTGCCAGTATTTAAAAATTTATAGATTTCCCATATAAATTTTGATTTGTGCCTCATGAAAAACAACAATGGATGATCTAACAATAAGGCTTAATTAAGTCACTAGCTGGAGTTGAGAAACAGTTGTCCCAATTAGCTGGCCCAAAAGCCTTCCACGTAGCATTAGTGTTCTATTTATGTAGAAAAAAATGTCTCTTTATATACCCCTCCTAATTCAGCTTTTTCAGATCATCACATTATCTCACATCTGAAAACAAACAATGGGAAACATTAGTAAGAGAGAAAAAAGGGGTAAATAATCTAGTTATTATTTTTAGGGTTTCATTCAGAATCTTATGTTTAGGTCCTTGAGATATTAGCACATTTGCCCTAGACGAGTGGTCGGCAAACTCATTAGTCAACAGAGCCAAATATCAACAGTACAACGATTGAAATTTCTTTTGAGAGCCAAAATTTTTAAACTTAAACTATATAGGTAGTTTGCTTCTTCTTTGTAGCCATGTCAAACAGGGCCCCTAAAAAATGTTTCATTTTATAATAATAAAGCCACCAACACAAAATAATTACAATTCTTATATTGATGACAAAAATACCTGTAGGATTTTCAGCTGGTTGGAAAAATACAGGTAACTTTATGCTTCGAGTAGGTACTTTTGTCACCTGCGCGCCGTTTGCGGATGCGACTAGCACTAACCACTGCACAATGAGACTGCTGACTGACTGGCTCACTCAACTTGTGCATGAATCGCCCGCACCTCCCCATCCGGCCTGCGCCGCATTTCCCATCGCCCGAGGGACAAACACCCCCCACTTCTTCTAACGCCACTTCTTCAAAATAGACTCGCCCAGGCTGAAAACCTACTTCTGCGCATGGGCCATGAAGTTTCAATCGCACTGTACGTGTGCACCCGCACATGGTATTTTGTGGAAGAGCCACACTCAAGGGGCTAAAGAGCCTCATGGGGCTCGCAAGCTGTGGTTTGCCGACCACTGCACTAGACAATCAGCACATTAAACAATTCCTCTCTGGATCAAGGTGCTCCTGTTATGGCTCAGGGACAAAACCTAGAGCAGTAATGTCTTCTCCAACATTAGCATCAATGCATCAAAGAAGAAGCTAATGCTAAAATCACATTGATCCTACAGAGCAAATACTGGTACCACAAACCATATCCTAAGCATAAAAGTTTATAAAATATCGTAGACTTACACAATATCATAGAGATAGAAAGGGGTGTAGGATGTCACACAGAGTGCAGACTAAACTTATGAGGCAGGTTTCAGATGTCCAAGGGAGTTTACTTGATAAAGCTCCAACTATCTCTACTATAACCCCTCTTAATAATATAGTTACCATAGTTTTCATTTTACAGGTTCAGAACTTTAGGAAGTATATGTAATCTGACCTGGGAACTATTAACTGGGATTTGAACCCTGACAACACATATCTTTGTCTATATCAATATCAGTGTCTGTGTCCATGTCTATGTCTGTATTTATCTATCTACATATTGTATATTTATCTATTCTATGTATAATCTACACTAATAAAAGAGAAAGATTCAAATTGACTGTACCTTTGTGACACCCACCAGCCAATCAGGAGTGAGCATGCAAGTTAACCCAACAAAGATGGCAGATTAAGTTGCATATTCAGGCACTGAGAGGCTGGGGGTGGGACAGGACACTTGTATCATCGCCATGGCGACGATGCAGACATTCTGCACCGCCCCAGCCCTTCCAGGCCTCTGGGCAGTGTGGGAAGGCGAAAAGGCTACTCCAGGCCTTAGTGAAGGCGGTGCCGGTAGCCAGGGGAAGGAAGGCCCATTCTTGCACGAATCTTCATGCATCAGGCCTCTAATATATATATACAAGTAGAGTTTTATTTGTCTGTTTAAATGACATTCATTGTCAGAGTTAGACTTAAAAGTCATATTACCAATGGCAACTTTTTTCACCCACTTAAATATCTGTTATCTTCCCACTGGGCATCATGAGAGAAGGTAACATGGGGCCTGGTTCTCAAAGAAGAGGACCTGCACACATTACCAGAAATGAGCTTGCAAATGGGGCTCTTCTTCCAGTAGGGGCTGTGCAGGAGTCAGGTGATCAATGATTCTCATCATTGATGTTTCTATCTCTCTCTCCCTCTTCTTCCTCTCTGATATAAAAAACAAATAAACATTAAAAAATGTATCACTGGTTCATCTGATGAAGCCTTGGCCTGCAATGGCCCATTGTTTTACATATATAAATTGTACATTCTAAATTGATTTTTTAGAGAGAGAGGAAGGAAGAGGAAGAGAGAAACATCAATGAGAGAGAGAAACATCCATTGGCTGCCTCCTACATAATCCCTCCTGGAAATGACCTCACAACTCTGGCATGTGCCCTGACAGGAAATTGAACCAGTGATCTCTCGATGCATGGGACGATGCTCAACCAACTGAACCACACTGGCCTTAACATATATTATTAAGGTATGATTGACATCTAGCATTTATTAGTTTTAGGTGTACATCATAATGATTTGATATTTGTATACATGATCATCATAATAAATATAGTTACCTTTCATCACTATATACACTTACCAATTTTTTCTGGGGATGAGAACTTTTAAGATTTACTCTCTTAGGAACTTCCGAATATGCAATACAGTATTACTAATTGCCATCACCATGTTGCACATTACGTCTCCTTGACTTACCCACCACTACTTTCAACTCCGATTTGGAGTCAGGATTTCTATTCAGGTTTTCCCATGTCTATAGCCAAGTGGGCAAGATAAAGAATTTACAGCTTTGCTTACTATACCCTGAAGTAAACAAAAATCCAAGATAAAAGGAATTCAGCATCCTAGCATGCAATAAGAACACCATCTAGGGCAGTTGTTGGCAAATTCATTAGTCAACAGAGCCAAATATCAACAGTACAACGATTGAAATTTCTTTTGAGAGCCAATTTTTTAAACTTAAACTATATTGGTAGGTACATTGTTATTAACTTAATTAGGGTACTCCTACGGCTCAGGAAGAGCCACACTCAAGGGGCCGAAGAGCCGCATGTGGCTTGTGAGCCGCAGTTTGCCGACCACGGACTAGGGCAACTGAGGGAAGGGAAACAGGCTGGTTGGAGACCTCTAACCCTCAAGCTGGATGTCCAACAAATCTCACTTTAATTTGTTAAAATATTTTTTAAAAATAAGCTTTACCAACATGTAGAACTTCAGACTCTGTCTGCAGAGACAACTCATTTTTGTCAAAGGATGATGTGAGTATTAATATTGCCTTTATTACCAATATAACTTTGTGCCATTGCTTTAACCTCTTTTATACTGAGTTTTCTTACCTATAAAATGAGGGTGATAAAAACACTTCAAGGGAGATAATTATAGTACCTCCTTGAGAGGGTTATTGCCAGATTTAAATAAGGCAAAGCATGTAAAGCAATTAGTACTGTTCTTTCCACAGCCAAGAATTCATTAATTTTGTTGCTATCATTTTTATTTAACCTAAGCATAGGAGAAAAGGACTGAACCCTAGATGTTATTCACTAGAGATGTGCCTGGTGACATTTACATATTTTCTGTCTCAGTAATTGCCTGAGATACAGCTCTAGTGTCTCCTCATGATAGGAGTCATAAGGTGGGGCACCTGCATGGCCAGTCTGCGAGCCAGGAGGATCCATTCATTATCACTGCCTTTGCCACCACCCACATCCTTCACCTTGGAGGATGCTGGGGCCATAGCCTCTTTTATGTTCAGGGATAGAATCTGTGTTCTTCTTTGTTCCATGCACCACAAATAAATTTTCTTCTGCTTTAGAAGGCTGGGGTCAGTAGACTTGTCCTCCTGGGAGAGAGAGAGAGAGAGTAAAGGATCTGGATCCATTGTTGCAGTGGACAGTTCTTCCTATGAACCTTGTTCCCTGTTTAAGACTGTTCTAGAGCTCAACACCATGGTACCTGAAACTTGCTTAAAAACAGGAGGCAACTAATTGATGTGTCTCATATCGATGTTTCTCTCTCTCTCTCTCCCCCTCTCTCCCTCTCTCTCTCTTACACCTTTTCCCTCTCCCTCCCTCCCTTTCACTCTCTCTAAAAACCAATGGAAAAAATGTCCTCAGTAAGGATTAAACAAACAAACAAAACAAAACCACAGGTGATCACAATAGCTCTTGGGAAAACATGGTTGGTGCATAAGAGTGTCTGTTCTGAGACAAGAATACAGGGTTTGGCTAGAAGGAAAATGTCTTGAATGTCCCATGTGTGTTATGCGCAATTTCTCAGGAAGT